GTCCCAGTAGCCTGAAATATGGGCATGAACTACCAGTGCCTGGCTCTCATTTATACTCTACTGCTAGATTATTTTTTTCACCAAATTCCTTAGGAATACATTTAAGATGTTGACATGTATTCCTTTACAGCATGAAAATTTACAGCTAAAATATAGTATATTTGGTGTGTTTATCTCTAAATATTTTCTAATTCTCCTTAGAATTTCCTCTGTAACTCCTTGTTCATCATGTGTTTCCCAGCTTTTGGGCTGTTACAGAATTTTAGTTTCATGCTATTATAGTTGGAGAAGATGGTTTGTCTAATTTCAGTATCTTAAAATTGTACAAATTGAGGAGGTGTTGGTGGCTCACACCTATAATCCTACTCAGGAGGCTGAGATCTGAGGATCACGGTTCAAAGCCAGGTGAGGCAGGAAAGTTTGTGAGACTTTTTTTTTTTGGTTGGTTGTGGGGCCTGAACTCTGGGCCTGGGCGCTGTCCTTCAGCTCTTCAGCTCAAGGTTAGCGCTATACCACTTGAGCCACAGTGCCACTTCTGGCTTTTTCTGCTTATGTGGTGCTGAGGAATCAAACCCAGGGCCTCAGGCATGCAAGGCAAGTGCTCTACCACTGAACCACCTTCCCAGCCCCATCATAAGACTCATCTCCAATTAACCACCAGAAAACCAGAAGTGGTGCTTGTGGGTCAAGTGGTAGAAGACTCACCTGGAGCTGAAAAGCTCAGGGACAGCGCCCAAGCCCAGAGTTCAATACTCATGACCCACTCCCCCCCACCAATTCTACAAATTGTCTAGACTTTTGTCTATACAGACTGTCTAATACACATTGCATATTATTGTCATGTGTGGGCAACACAGTGCTGTGTGAACAGTTAGGTCTTCCTGACCTAACAGCATTCTGTCTGTTCACTTATTTGCCTGCTAATGTGCCCTGCCATTTCTGCTTTGCATTGCAGCTTTCAACATTTACATTCAGTGATGACTGGTAGCGTGTAACACGTTCTCTATGCTACATATCTTCTGTTTCTCTTTATTCTTCCATTAATGCTTTTGTTCATTTCTCTGAAAGAAGGGATCTCTTTTCATTTTGGCAGACTGCAAACCTATTTCTTAATGGTTCCTGTGACGATTACAATGATGACCTATGTACTGATAATAATTTGCAGTAATATCTACAACTTAGTGGCACAGATTCTGAACAAGCCCATCCATTCCACAGTCATTACGCTCACAAAGTACATAGGTAGGTTATATAAGTTACTAACCTATGTTGGACTCTATCACTGGTGAGTGTCTTTTCCAGCTCCAAGAACTCCCGTTAGCATGTTTGGCAGACTAGAACTTTGAGCAACAGATATCTTTATTTTCATTCTTGGGGATATTCATTCTTTATTTTTAAAGGATCCCTCTTTACCAGATATAGAATTCTTTGTGGAGAATTTTCTCCACTTCAACATGTAAAATCTCTTCCCTCCTCAGTGGTTACCACAGAATAGCTGTTATACATGTACACAGTGAATCACTTTCTCATGCTTTAGTCTTTTCCCCCATCCTGTTAAAAGTTGAAGAATTTGAACTCAGGGATTTGTACTTGCTACCAAAGCACTTTACCATTTCAGCTAGCTTCTCAGCCCTTCTGCTCTGGCTACTTTTGAGACAGTCTTGCTTTGTTGATCCTGGACCATGATCCTCCTATTTAAACTCTTTTTGCACATGACTACTCCTGGTTTATCTCCAGAGATGGTATCTGGTTCTTTTGTCTGTGCTGGCTTAAAACAGTGATCATTCAGATCTGTCTCCTGTGTAGGTGGGATGACATACGGAGTTTTACAGACTTCTCTATTGACTGATCTCAAAGCACAACACTAACTTCAGTCTCTTGGATAGCTAAGATTACAGGCATGAGGCAGAAGCACTCAGTTCACTTTCAAGATTATCATATCTTTTGTAAAAGGCAATGTGGATTTTTGGGTGTTTCTACTACTGGGAATTTGTTGAGATTCCTAGAATGTTAGAACCGTATCTTTAAATTTGGGAAGTATTCATATTTTGAAATGTAACAAACTTTTCATTGTATCTATATTGGTATGCCTGTGGTGTATGCTAAGTTACTGCTAAGTTTTCTTCCGATGAGATCATTTCCACTGGTCTTGTTTCCCAGAAACAAAAGAATTGCAGACTGGTGGAATGTGGGGCACTCCTTCCTCGTGGTCTATAGCATATTTTCCACACTGCTTTAGCCTTCACTTTGCATTGGGCTAGTGTCAATATTAGCAAGAGGCAAACACTTGGTTTCTCTTTAAGTATTTTTTAAGTGCACAACCCATGCTGTGTGTGTTTGTGTGTGTGTGTGTGCATGCGTGCTGTTGTAGAGTCGCAGGTATTCACAGGAGCTTTTAAGTCTTTGTTATTCCGAAGCATGCCACCCTCACCTTTTCTCCTGGCCATGTAGTTCTATGTGCAACCTTAGCCTCAGGTGGCAGAGGCTTTTTCACTTACCTTTCAGCGCTTTTAAATCTTGTTTTGTATACACAGACACTTCTTCACACCAGGGAATGCTGAGGAAAAATAAAAGCAAGCCCCTAGATTGTGTTTCAGGAACAAGGTCTGCTCTGCTCCTTACAGAACTAGAAACCCACATCGGAAGTGGAAGCTTCTGTGTGCAAAACCACTGCTGACTGGGAAGTACAAAGCAGGTAAATGCTGTAAATCTAGCAAACTGGCTTTCAGCTAGAAACTTTTATTTATCAAACTTAATAGTAATACTGGTAATGAGTTTTTCCTTTCCAGCTTCTCGTGGTGTACTGTATTGGAGTAGTGTGTTTTGGAAGTTTCCCACTCACATTATTCTTTTTTTATAGCACTTTTTTAAATTGTGATTAGGTGAGTACATAAATTTCACAAATTCCACAGTATTGTGAGAGAGTGATAAAGTCACGAACACATTCTAACCTTCATGGGGCAAATTGTCTTTACCATGAGTTCTATGAGCTTTGACAATAGTTATTTCTTCCAAATCGGGTGATATGTACATTTCTTTCCTTTTGCTTAGTGTCAGCTGTTCCCTCTTTCCCATTCATTCCCTCCCTCCCATTGCTTCCTTTGAGTTGCTTTAGTTTGCTTTGATCAATGACCAGGGAAGCTGATGGGTTCCACCTTTACATGTTTTCCCTTGCTTCCTTCTGTTTCTGTGTCCTCCTCCTAGTTTTCTTCATATGTCAGTGGGAAGGAATAAACTAATGCTTAAGTGACTCTGATATGACTTTCCTAAAGGAGTATGGATATGCGATGCTTGGTTAAAGAATTAGTCTCTTGCTTTATATGTATTTGTTTCCAAAATATAGGTATGGTAAAAGAGATGGAAAAGTGCATAAATAATAGGTCCTTATTAATTGGACAAAGCAATTTTGGGACAAATGGATACACAGCCTTTAAGTATGATTAGCTATTCATACTTTGCATATATTACTGGTTTGACTCACCAAAATTCTTGCAGGAGTATGAAAATAACATTGTTGTAATATGTTAAACTGCATGAGCTATGTGAACTCTGAAGAACACCATGTCTCCAATAGTCTGTTCAAGTATTTTGTCCTAGATGCTGTAGCTCATGTGTGTGCCCTATTACCAGTCCTTAAAACACATACTTATCAACACTTACCACTACAAATCTCAAAATAATGATGTACTATGTCTTATTAAGAAAAACCACTCTCTTTGCAGTGTGTGTGTGTGTCATAATAGTAAGGGAATTCTTTTCAAGTCTCAAGTTTCTAGTTACAGCAAGATTGAATTTCTTCAAACTGCCATGTCCACTGAATTGTAACTGATATGACTTTATGTATTAAAAGAAAATTATGGTAAATCCACAATGTTACTAGGCTCCAAAATACAACAAGTTATTCATCAGATAATGTTGGAAAATGAAACTTCTTTAGCTGGAATTTTGTATCAGGATTTTTCCAAGCACAGAACTAATTTTTGTTTTGAGATTCTAACACAAGATTATTAAACATACACTCACTTTTTAATGCGAGTCTAATACAAGTGAATCTGGAGGAAAGTAAAAATTACAGGATGCAACATACCAGTTACAAATTCTAGTTATTTGGCACAGATAACAGTATCATGTTTTATATATGTGACATTCTGTAGACACACAGGGTTACAGCCTCTTTTTAGTTCTGCCTATAGAATCATAAAATAATGATTTATGTTGACAGTCCATTGTTCTCCAAAGTCACTTCCCTAATGCAATAACTATGAATAAAGATGTAGCATTCAACTTAAAATCCTGAGAAAATTAACTGTTTTAATTGCTGGAATGATTTTTAATGTTCAGAAGAAATTATAAAATGCCTACTGGAAAGAGTTTACTACTACAGGGTAAGGGAGTATTTCTTACCTCATAGAATCTGAGAACAAGTTGGGTATAGTAATGAGTTTAGAATCACACAGTAACAACAATATGTACTATTTGTAAAATTTGACCTCAAACTTCAATTGTAATCTCTAAACTTCTGAATAAACTTCGGGACTAAAAAAAAAAAAAAACATTAGATGGTTCAAGAATTCTACTGCTACATAGGCCTAAGCATCAAACACATGTTTACCTCCTGCTTTTCCATCAGTGCCATTCCAATCATGAATTTATTAAAACTGAACAGGAAACCAGGGAAATTAGTGTTTTCAATAGTGGTTTTGGGAGTATATAATGTTGACACAGTTTCGAATTATGTAATTTTCACTGAATATCATGTTTTGAAAAGAACTTTCTTTTAGCACACACATTACCAGAATAGAGCATGACAAAATTGCCTTAGTAGGCTTTTATATTTCCCATTGTTCATTAAAATTCATAGGCACAAAATAAGCCAAGTCAATGTGCATACACCTGGGTCCTGCCTGACTGCAATTCCCAGAAGACAAAATGCTCCATGGTCTTTTAGGTTCTTCACAGAAATTAGACAAGTCATAAGGAGAGAAAAAAGTGGGGGAACACTTATTTGACTGAATAAGGAATTGTTTTTACTAAAACCATTTCTGAATTTGCATTACAGAACATAAAAATATAGATGAGTTTGAAAGCTTGTTTACAGCTTAACCTTTTATTTCTGGCATCTAGTACACTTATAAGTCAGACAACATTTACATTTCCTGTCTAGTCTAGAAAGATGTGAGAAACAGATGAGCTGTATAAAACTACAGCAGGATACAAAAGGTAATAATGGTTACATTCCTGAATGTGGTTTTCACTGTGTCATTTGCTCCTCCAGGAATACTAACCTTTCATATAGATTCAGAGACTGAGATTTTGATGGCAAGCTTCTCCATAAAATGCGAGAGGAAAATGGCCATAGTGGGTTCATTTTGCTATTATAAATCTGGATTCCTAGAAGACACTACAAGATTTGTGTGTGTGAAGTGATGCTTCTACTGTCAGAAGGCCTTTGAGAAAGCTGATTTAGTACATGTTTGTTTGCTTTAGAATTGGATCTTAGGAAGAAAGCTTCGTTTTCTGGTGAGACATCAATATCACAAGTACCATCCATCCAGCTCTCTTGTCCCACAGACCTTGATCTAGTTATGATTAATAAGACCAAACAAGACACTTTGTAACAGTGCACATCCTTTATAACTGAAACTGCAATAATTTTCCATACATGACACGTTTTCATGCATATGCTTTATCCCTATACAGAACTAATTTTAACATACATGCCTTAGGTTTCCTTTATGAACACTGTGGTTTCCTTTACTACTGAGGAGTTGGAAAACATTGTCATTTATTTCAATCCTGTGGCACACGACTATAATATGCTTGAAAAACACTTTCATGTTTCTTTTGTAGATTGTTACCGTTTTTGAAAATTAAATTTACTAGGAAAACCCAGTTTCAAAAAAGTATACAAGAAGGAGCTAGCTTATCACAATTAACAAAGAAATGACTTCAAGAATTCGAAATAGTATAATGTCAGGAACAGGTTTATCTTCATGGCAAACATTCAGTTTATGCAAATCCTGCTTGGCTTCATTTAATTAAAAAGCTGGAAAAGAAAGAAAATTATTATGTACTGAACACAATAAACAATAGGCTTTCTCTTCCATTCTGAATTAGCACATGTAAGTATAAAAGACACAATAATTATACTTTTTCACTTAAATAATATTTTTATTAGGGAAATTTTTTGAAACTACTTCCTGTAATGAGGTCATATTTGAGGTGAGCTAAAGCAAATTGAGTTAATTTATATAAATGTACCTGTCATTACTATCATTTAAAATGGTAATATAGGCAAAATAATGGGAATAGACTGAATATTTGAATGCCTAAAAACAGTTCTCTCATTGAATTTATAATGCATTTATTTAGAACAATAATTAATATTTGGTCTTTTGTTAATGGTAATCTATGATTGCATTATATTAAATAGCCAAAAGAATGTATCAGCACAAACATATGAAGGGAAAGGTAACTATTGCATTTTGAAGTGCCTTAAGCTAAGCTTTATGATCAGAATGGGAATTTAGCTTGGTGAAATGGTCAATTTAAATAATATTTCCATTTACTATACATCTGCTTGATTTTTGTGCCTTCCTGTAGCACATTTTTCATGGCAACTCTACAAGACTACAAGACACAAATACTAAAGCAAAACTGAAATTGAGTGTTACTGCAGCTGAAAAACCCTATTATTGGAAAATTTAAACTGGTGACTTTAACAGCTGGCTGTCCTAGGCATGCAGGGTTTGTCTCATTGAATGCTGGGATTCTCACTAATATAAAAAACACTGCTGCATATGATTGCCCAGGTTCTTCCCAGCACTAATGCTTTATGATTCTGACAATACAGGCTGCTAAAAGTCTGTATTTTGACATAAAATGTAAAACAATTCTATGACTGTATATTGCATTGCTAATGTATTCTTATTCATAACATAAGTACAGTGTAAACCGCATGCAATACATGCAGAATAGTTATTCTAAATCTACTTTAAGGAATTATTAAATTAGAAGATAGACCCAATCAGAGATTGATTATATTGCAAGGGTAGCCGTCTCCACAAATATGATTTTCATTAGAAGCCTTATAGCGTGAAGGCTGGAATTCCTGCTTAGTCCAGCCCTTACAGCAGGGAGGGAAAGCAGATACATTTATCTCTGGCAGATGAATTTCTGGGATTTTTTTTGGGGGGTCCAGTCGTGGGCCTGAACTCTGGGCCTGGGCACTGTCCCTCAGCTCTTCAGCTCAAGACTAGTGCTCTACCACTTGAGCCACAGTGCCACTTCCGGCTTTTTTCATTTTGCTTTAGGTGGTGCTGAGGAATCGAACCCAGGGCCTCAGGCATGCAAGGCAAGCGCTCTACCACTGAGCCATCTTCCCAGCCCCTGGGTTTTTTTTTCAAGTATAAGCTAACTTGAAAATTTAATAAAAACACTGTCCTGAAATATACTGGTTAGAGAAAGGTATAAAATACAGAGTACTTTGAGATGGTTATCCCATCTCCACCAATGTGCCCAGTGGGTTTTCTAATGAGCAAGATTAAAATGTTCTATGATATTTAACTGCTGCTGTATTTTAAAAGTATCTTGGCTACTACATTGTTACTAAAGGTTAAGAACCCTCACTATTATATCTGTTCACAGGGATTTCCAAACTCAATACTTAGTATCCCTTGTTTATACCTGATTATGAAGTAACAATCTGCTGATCTAGTAAATGCCCAGTAATAAGTGTGATAAGCAGAACATCTACTATATTTATAATTACAAGACTTTTCATGAAAATGGGATACTTGTAAAATTTTTTATATCTTCATGACTGAACAGAAGAAAGTGGTGTTTTTAATTTTTTTAGAAAAGCAAAGCATGAGTTGCTATAAGTGTAACTAGGATTTCAGTTTTTAAGTGTATAGTGTATGTTCATGTGAATTTTTTTTTTTTTGTCAGTCTTAGGGCTTGAACTTTGGGCCTGGGCGCTGTCCCTCAGCTCTTCAGCTCAAGGAAAGCACTCTACCACTTGAGCTACAACAGCTACAATGGCTACGACGCCACTTCTGGTTTTCTGGTGGTTTATTGGAGATAAGAGTCTCACGGACATCCCTGCCAGGCTGGCTTTGAACCGTGATCCTCAGATCTCAGCCTCCTGAGTAGCTAGGATGACAGGCGTGAGCCACCGGCGCCCGGCTCATGTGAATTTTTATATCACTATCACTCATGGATTTAGTGTCATTAAGCTTGGCCTGTTGTATTCTCTTCACATTGATGAATCTAATATTTCTAATGGCATTGCCATTTTTATAGATTTATACTTTCAATAGTGCTTGTAAATTTTCCTATTGATGTTCAAATACATACATAAATCCTTTTATACATAAATCCTTTTATATTGTACTTAAATTGACTAAATTATAAAAACAACTAGATACATTCCTCTTTTCCTTCTATATCTGTGCTTTTTCAGTGTTGCAGTCTGTTTCCTGATGGCGTAAGAAGCTGGTGAATTCCAGTCTTCCAGGTCAGGAATCAATGTCATAGTCACTGTAGTAAACAGTCAGCAAATACTCAGCAGTGAATAATATGGCTGGTTTATACCAGAGTGAATGCATGTACTTTCAAATTAACTCACTAATATGAGACAGAAGCTAATCTGCAAGAGTAGAGAGTTGTACAGGTAGAGATCTGATAGCAAGGCAAAGGTACATTAAAATTAAGACAACTCTAACTCCAAGTTTCAAAGTTAAGGAGAGGATTGAACTACAAAGGGTAAGCTATTATCTATATAATATGAAAAAATCCCATTATATCATCTCTCGATTTTATGAACAGTAATCATGGTAATAGAACTAATATTTCACATGCTACTAAAGCTGAGACATATAGATGTCTTCCACAAGATACATAGAATTACATACTCAGTGTTTTCACCCGCATGGAAGACTATCATGTGTCCTTATGAACACTTTGCTCATTTTAGAAAATGAGCCAAGAACTAAAGTTAATTTCTTATGCAGTATCACTCAGATGCCAATGACACACAATTCATAGGAAAGCTGGCATTTGACTTAAGTTTTCCGGTGTTTTTGGAGCCTAATGAAGTTCGGGAAAGGGTTCAGAAAGTATCTGCTATTCACTCAACCAGCTATGTTAAGTCTAAAAGCTTCTGAATGTTCACCATAAATAAATCATTTTAAGCAAAGTATATGAATTTAAATATATCAGAATTAATGGTATTAGCATCAAATATTTGAGTAATACTATGTAATGAATAAATAACTATGATCATTTGCTCAAAATCCCAGATAGAAGCAGACTGAGGGTTCAAGAAAACTTACTGAAATTTAACTTTCTGGGACAATTTAATGGCATGAAACAGCTTGATACTGTAGAATAAATATACCATAAGTGCTGAAACTCTAGGCACTCTCAAGGAAAAACTATTTTAAGTAGATTTTTATAATTTTAGCAGGTTCATTTTTGAGGTTGTGAGATACACTGAGAAAATATCATACGGGCACAATAAATGTTTATAGTTCTCTGAGGCTTCTAAGTATAGATTAAAATTAAAAATGAGAATTACTTGGTATAAAAAATAAGAGCTACAGAATTCACAATGGTGAAGAAAGAATGGAAAAAAGTTTTATATAGCACCGTGCCTTAATCATCTTTAAAAGTTTTTGATTTAAGACTGGTATGAAAACAATAATTGATATTGAAAAGAAAGATATTGGAAGCTACAGTGAAATAACAGCCAAGGATGAAATTTCAGTGAAGCTCAAAGCCCCTGGCTAGAGGTAAGTGTAGTATATATACTGTTCAAGTGAGCATTTTCAATGAAAGACCAAGAGTTGTCCCAATTACAACACGATTATCTGAACTAGGTACAGGTAGGAAGTTTGCCCAGCAAATCTTATACACATACTTGGTGCTCAATTTATTTTTATTTCTGCTTGTCCTGGGCTTGAACTCAGGGACTGGGCACTGTCCCTGAGCCTCTCTGTGTTCAAGGCTAGTGCTCTACCACTTGAGCCACAGTGCCACTTCCTGTTGTTGAGTGGTTAATTGGAGATTATTATATATTACCTATATGGATAGCCATGGTACTTGGAACGAAATATTGAAAGCAGAAAACTGAAGAAGAAGACCACCAGGCCTAATCCCACGAGGCAAATTACTAGAGAAAGATAATATCATTAGTGTCTAGAGACATGCAATTGACAACTCCAGTGTATATACGCTTAGAATACATTCAGTTACAGAATTCTTACACTTAATAGTTCATGACATAAACCACCAGATAATCCACAACAAAACATATTCATTATTTTCCACATTCTTCTCAATAAGAATGTACTATTCTGGTTATGGGAAACTGATAGATTTATTCTAGCTGATAGATTTATTCTCTTACAAAGTTTCTGCAAGAACTATAAGGGATCAAATTACGTAATAAAAAGACTATCAACCCCATAAAACACTGGCTATAGGAGGAATATTGGTGTTACTAGAATTAAAATTACATTTTATTTAGATTACTACTACTTAACATATGTTAAGTATAGAAGCTTGAGGCATAGGAAATAAGGTCCCAGTAAGAGCCAGGAACACTCAAGAACAGGTAAGAGCTATATGGCACAGTAGTACAGATTTCAGTGACTATCTCAGGAAGATTAGCAATAGGAAAATTACTTATTTTCTGTTCTTTATAGTATGGTTGTATAGATTTTTTACTATAGTAAATTTGTTATTAATCCAAACATGTTCAATAATTTAAAAATCTGAACCCACTAAATATACTTATTTGCACTGTAAAAATATGTATAACAGATTAGAATGGATTATTAGACCCAAGAAATATTAACTGCATCAAAATCTTAATAGGTCTAGAATCTATTACATAGCAATTTATGCCTTCCAAAATGTATTAATGAAATATTTCATTTTTCCTGGATGGTAAGAAATAAGGAAAATACTTTTTTTTTTGGTCAGTCGTGGGGCTTGAACTCTGGGCCGGGGTGCTGTCCCTGCACTCTTCAGCTCAAGGCGAGCACGCTACCACTTGAGACACAACACCACTTCCAGTTTTCTGGTGGTTTACTGGAAATACGAGTCTTACGGACATTCCTGCTCAAGCTGGCTTTGAACCACGACCCTCAGACCTCAGCCTCCTGAATAGCTAGGATTACAGGCGTGAGCCACCGGCACCCAGCTTAGTCCCTTGTATTTGTTACCTTGCTACATTATGCTTAGTGGCAAAGATTCAAGGTATTTCATCAGGAAAACTATTTGTTTACTTGATTCTACACAGTGGAACAAAATACTAGATTATTTGTAGATGAGGGAAAGGGGCTGAACAAAGCAAAGGATTAGTAATAGTAAGTGAGACATCACACCAGGAGCATAATGACCCCCTGGAAGTGGTAGTAATCACAAAGTGGTTATACAGTATCACCATGTTAGACCCTAAAATAATTCCTCGTATGCATTTGTGTCTCTGTTGCACACACAATCACAAGAATAAATGAGGTAAATGAGGAAACATCAAAGAGGGAAATTCAAAGGATTTGTTTTTTTACAAACTATATAGATGTCAGATGAAAACATTTATTAAGTATTACTATTATCAGAATGACACTAATTATTCAAAAGATACATCTTATCCAGAATTGCTTAAAGCAAGGTAATATATTAATTTCATCTGTGGTTTCATTACAACACTATATGGATAAGCATCATGGGAAAACACGGAAGATGGTCTTGATTGTACCTTACTTCCAAGCAATTTTAAGTGTTCAGAAACAAAGGAGGAGGCAACAATGCTTGGTAAGAAATGTACTCATTACCTTGCTCATGTAATTGTAACCCCTTTGTATTTTCACAATAAAAAACTTATTAATAAAAAAGAAATCACTATGAATTATTTAGATGTTCATCACAAAAATTCCAAAAACATATTTGGATTTTAATTTCAAATACTCTGATAAATTTTCTCATATACCATGTTTAGGCTTGGAGAAGAGGTGAGAATTAAATGTATTGAGAAAAGTTTTAGGTTTAAGTTTGTGATGGCACAAAATCGTAGAGACTTGATATCAATGATAAAAAGGACGACAGAAAGGACTCTAGGATCCTTTCCCAAGAATGAAGTCAAAAATCCAATGTATATCCTACAGAATTTAAGAAGAAGGGATGGGTAGGGGAAAGATGCATGAGAATGCTTAAAGGAGTAATATTGAGGAAGGTAACACTGTGTTCATAAACGGCAAGAGGCAAGTTTTGTACACTAAAGAATATAGAAGGAACTACATATAAACACAAATTTTTAATTTAAAAATACAAAAAAGAGAGGATGGAGGGGGTACGGCTCAACCAGCAAAGCAAATTTGATGTTCCATTGGTACTTGCCCTTACTCCCCGCACCTGCCCCAAGTATAAAAATATACGTAGAAGTACAACCTCCTAGGAGGGATATTTCCATCAAAGGATAAAACAATTTGGGCCAGGTGCAGTGGCTCACATGGGTAATCCTAGTTACTTGGGAGGCAGAGACCAGGAGGAACAAAATCTGAAGGCTAGGCCAAGCTAGAAGTGAGATTCCATCTCAGTAAACAAGGTAGGAATAGTAGTATATACACCTGCAATCTCAAATACATGGGAAATTATATAGGAAGGTTGTGGTCTCACTTGGTTACAGGCAAAAACAGAACACCCAACCTGAACAATAGCTAAAAGTAAGCTACCTGAAAAAAGAGCTAAAAGCAAAAGTGAGCTTGAGATATGGCTCAAATAGTGAATAGACACATCTGCCTAACAACTGGGAGGTCATGTTGGGTGAACAAAAAAAAACAAACCCTAAAATCTCAAACATAGTTAACTTGCTTAAAAATAATGCTGAAACTGGAATTATAAATCTCATATAACAGGAGAATGGACAAAACCTTTGTTAATGATAGTATGAAGAGATGTTCTCTTCCTTGAAAAATGTCGATATAAGGTTTGGAAGGTAATACAAGTATTTGCAAAGAAAAACTATACAGCAACTCTTTTCCCATCCTAGTCGTGCATATTTGATTTTCTCAAGATTCTGCTAGCAGAACACCACCTCTTTCTGTAATAAGGAAGGACTCTGAGAAGAACGATGTCGTCTCAATCAGTTATTATACAGCATTCCACAGGAAATCACCTGAATCTTGTTTTGGAAAAAAATATATTTTTCTAGGACATTCACATATATTAGAGAGAGAAAAAAATGGAAAAAAAAAACCAAAAACCTGAACTTTCTTGGAAGTAGACCACATTCTCAGAATCTTATGTTAACAAAGAGTCTGTCTATACTTTTAACTGAAATCAATGTCAAAATAATGAAACTGCATTGCAGACACTTACTCCGTCTTTTTCCAACGTCTCCTTTGGAAGTTGCTGCTTCATTCAGAAGAACCATCCCCATGGTGATGGCGGCATCTGCAGCAGTTGTCAAGGAAGCATTAGAAATAGAAGCAAACAAAACCTATTGATTTTTATGGTCTGAAAACAGTATTTCAGAATGGCTAAATTGCACATAGAGATAAATAAAATTGGTGTTCATTATGTAACATAAAAATCACCATTCTTTGTGTATGTCTTCATTTTTAACTCTTATATCCTGAAACTTTAATTTGCCAGATTTGGGGAAACCAGTTCTAAATGCTCTTAAATTGTAAGACTTTCAAAGCACATAAAGATCACATAAAATTTCAAAAGCAGTTCTAACATTTCACATATTACATAAAAATGTTACAGTCACAGTAAATTTCACTGGAAATCCTGGAAAATTAAAATATGTTCATGATTTCTTATTTTATGTTCATAGCATCTTTGTGCAATTATTTAAAAATTATTTCATATATTCCATATTTTGTTTAGAGAAATACATAAGCTCCAGTTCCATATTACACAGAAAATATGGTATTCAACTATAAGCTTTATCAAATCAAATAGGCACATAATGCTAAAACAATTCTGACAAATTTAGCAGGATCTCAAACTAGCCAGTTCATTGACATTTTAAGAATGAAAACACAATTCCTTCTGTACTTAATGTGGCCTACAACAGGATAGACTTACTCCTCCCTGCTGAAAGATGCTAGGGACTGAAGAAATGATGGATATGCTCCAACTTCTTAAGAACACTTTTTGCAGATTATTAAAACATCTTTGACACTATTATCCAGGTTTTAGAAACCACCAATTCTGGAAATATGTATATGCTCAAATGACTAATAGATTAAAAAATTACAGTTCCAGCCAACAAATTCATCCTTTTCCTTCATTGCACCGTCATTTCTACTGCTGTGTATATACACCACCAACCAGTCTCTGGTGGGAGATGTCTTCCACCCCAATAGAAGCACAAAGCACATCCTGAAGCAAGAGCTATATAATTAAATGGATGTCACAGCAAGTTATTCAGAGTAAGTATCTCCACACTGAGTCACCTTTCATTACTATTATTGAATGTGTAATTTTTAATAGTCACTAATTTTGGTTCTGCTCCCATGAACTTATCCAACTTCTGAATATCTCACTCCTCTCATTATGCATTATTATACTATCTTTAAAACAATTTTCAAACTCTTCTATTAGGTAGAGCATTGGAACCCATTTTAGGAAAAATAGCAAATAAACAAAAACCTTGAGTTGCAAGCTAATGTATACCAGTCCTCACCAAACACACATATGCCAAGTGCTACATACAATTAAACTTCTGAGGATCCCTGATAGTTTTAAAAACACTGAAATTTAGATATTACTGAACTTCTCAGTTTAATATAGGTAATAATGGATAAGAATGATTTCTAGACTTCAAGGATTAATTAATTCAAAAAGTATTTTAGACTTTCTACCTGCATATATAAACAGAGCACATGAATTAAAAACTAAAATGGTTCAGGCAGGAGTTTCTGTTGCTTAATGTAGGTGTTTTGGAGAAAGCTAGATGTGACCTTACCGAAGAATTTCCCTTTTAATCTATTAAATTTTAATCTGACATATTAAGATACACATAGCCAGGTGCCAGTGGTTCACAGCTGAAATCCTAACTACTCAGGAGGCTGGGATCTGAGGATCACATTTTGAACCCAGCCCAGGCAGGAAAGTCTGTGAGTCTCTTATCTCCAACTGTTGCTCAGTAGTAGAATGCTAGCCTTGCATGAAAGAAACGAAGGGACAGGACTCAGGCCCCACAAACAAAAGATGCACATAACATTCACTGAGGAGAGGGGAAGAAGATGGCAGAGGAGAGGTCTCTATCTAAAATAGAACTCAAAAAATTAACCCTCCCAACAACAAATCCTCAAAGAAACAACCATCTGATTAGTAAGTGGGCTAAAGACTTAAAGCGAGACTTCTCTGAAAAGAAAATAAGAATGGTAAATAGACACATGAAGAAATGCTCAACTTCTTTAGCCTTAAAAGAAATGCAAATCAAAACAACATTGAGATTCCACCTCATCCCAGTTAGAATGGCTATAAACAAGATCTAATAAAAGATGCTGGAGGGGATGTGGCCCCATACATTGTTGGTGGGAATGTAAACTTGTTCAACCACTTTGGAAAGCAGTATGGAGGTTACTCAAAAAGTCTTTTGACTTAGAGCTCCCCTGTGACCCAGTAATCCCACTTCTAGGCATTTACCCAGATGATCACAAACAAGGCCATACAGCACACAACTATGTTTAATGCAGCATTATTCACCACAGCTAAGATATGGAAACAACCCAGAGGTCCCTCAGTATATGAATGGATCAAGAAAATGTGATATATATGTATGTATATCTCCATTGTGTACACACACACACACACATACACACACACACACAAACACACACACACACACAATGGAATTCTATATCTCCATCAGAAAGAATGACATTGCCCCATTTGTTAGGAAATGGAAAGACTTGGAAAAAATAATATTACATGAAGTAAGCCAGACTCAAAGAAACATAGGTCCCATGGTTTCCCTTATTTGCAATAACTAGTATATGTCTAGGACAAACAGAAGAGGTCAAAAACTACGTACATATGACCATATAACTTGATGCTAAGTGAAATGAACCCCAAGATAGGGACACAGGTTTTATCTCTGTTGTAGTTCTTTTTAATGTACTTATAATGTACTATGTGATTTTTTTGTTTCTTTTGTATGTTCTTCCCCCATGGTGTAACTCCTGTTTATACTGTATTTGATTCTGGTGCCCTGCATCTTGTATATACATTTTTCTAATTTGGAGAGGGAAAGGGAAATAACAAAATGCTGAAAGAAGGATACAGGTTGACCCATTGTAACAATGAGATGTACAAGACAGTATGCTGAAAACGAACTTTACAACTTTGGGGGAGAGCCGAGGGAGGCATTGGGGAAGTGGGGAGGAAAGGGATGATACGGGATAAATAAAGGAGGATGTAACAATGCTTCATAGGAAATGGATTCTACCTTGCTCATGTAACTATAACCCCTCTGTACAGTATCTTTACAATAAAAAATATATATTAAAAAAGCCACTCACTGATAATTCATACAGCATTCTGTAGTATTTTGATTCTGACAAAATAATTTGTGTATATTCAAAATACAAATGGAATTTTAAATGTGCTTATATAAGTACTGAACACAACCCACTTATGGATTCATCTGCTAAATCTCTCTCTTCCATAAAAAAGGGGAAAATGACAAGTGTTTCCCAATTTTAATAAGCATAAAGGCATGTATTAAAATATGTAGGTCACATTTTATGCACATAATTAAAATATATATGTTCATAATAAATACATGTGATCTCAGTGAAGAGATTATCTTGGTTCTGTCATCTCAGCTCTGTACCTTGGTTCTGTCATCTTAGCTATATGGTAGCTTAGTTCTGTCATCTTAGCTCTGGGAGGCTGAGGCAGGAGCATCCCAAATTCCCAATGAGCCTGGAAAACTTAACAAGGCTCTGTCTCAATAATATAAAAAAGAAAGAAAAGCAGGGAGAAGGATGAGCATGAAACTCAGTGGTAGAGTTTGTACTTTGTACATGCCCTGACTTTAACTTCTAGTACTGCAAGATGTTTTGTTTTTTATTGGTAATTAATTGGATATGTCTTCACTGAATATTTTACTGTTCTGTTTCTATGTTGCACACTATGTGGGAAATGTGCTTCTAACCTGAAATTTTTAATGTCATAAATTTCAACAGCATCATAACTGAAAATTACAGCATTTTTATAAGATTAGACTTTGCTTTATCTTACTGACATTTAAAGATATCCCCAATATTCACATTACAAATAAGAATGTAAAGAATATCTTATGTACGTGTATTCCTTCTCAAAGTTCTACACTTATGCACAAAAATTGTTCAGTATAATCATATTCTCTAAAATGAACAATGTATGGGTTTACATTTTTCTATATATATGTGTATATATGTATATGTGTGTATAGTATATGTGTGTATATTTATTGTGTATGTGTACTGAGTGAATCAAAACTGGGACTTGAACTCAGGGTCTAAGTACTGTACCTTAGTTTTTTTACTCAAGGCTAGTCCTCTATTAGTTGAGCCATTGTTCCATTTCTGGCTTTTTGGTGGTTAACTGGAGAAGAGTCTCAAAAATTTTCCTCCTTGAGCTAGCTATAAACTGCGATACTTAGATCTCTCCTTCCAGAGTATCTAGGATTGTAAGCATGAACATGAACATTCAATTGAACACAATATTGATAGACTATAGAGTTTTATTAATTGTTAAATGTGGAGCAATGTTCCAACTGAGTATAAGAAATTTGTGAAGATTTTCCCTTTGTTTAATCTTCTGTGTACTACTAACATATTTTCTTTTTTCCATTGAAACATACTTTCTTTTCCTTAATGGTAAAATGTGCTCAGTTTTTTTCTTCAATAGAAATTGACTGAACTTTCTACTTTATTTCTCTCAAACCATTATATTATGAAGAAGGCTTTTACTTTAATGTGTTCAAATTCATTAATCTTTTTCTTGATGAATTCTGCTTGTGAAACTAATTCCTATCCCTAGATCTTACAAGCATTTCTTTTTTCTGGTCCTTTCTTCTACTAATATTGAAGGAAGTTAGGTAATGCATTCACATTTTAATAATTTTCTTTCTCCAAATAAAACCTAAAGACCTTACTGCTAGATGACTTGTTCTTCACCCAATGACACCATACACTCCCTTGTCCTTGTTTGCGCTTAGTCCAATCCTCAGTATTCTTCCAACAAGCCAGACACCCCTGTGGACAGTATTTCTAAACTTGCTATTCTAAACTGCCTGGAATGCTTTTCCTCTAAATATTGCATGAATCAGTCCCATTCTTCCATTCATCAGGTCTCTCCTTGCCTCACATATCAGAGAAACCACCTTTGACTTTCCTATTTCCTTATTTTGCTTTTATACATCACATTATTGTAAAAGAAACTTTCAGGCTTTTTTCTTTGTCTTACCACTATAAAGGAAGATTTCTTTACTATCTTACCTAGTAGCGACAACTATTTGATATAGGCATTATCAGTTTATAAACAAAGAAATTGAAGCCCAGAGAGATCTAGTCTGATTAACTTGTTCCACAATACAAAGATACAGAATGCAGGGTGGAAACCAAGAGTATAAAATAAATGCCCCACAATAGTGTTAGGGTTAATGAAAATCAAATGAGGGTGAGTAAAGGAAGAAAACTGCCAGCTCAATTTCACCATAAAACTTTGTTTTAAAAAATCATACATTGTAAGATATTAAAAATATTCAAACCTCAAAATATATTTTTATTTAATTTTATTTAATTTAATATTATTTCTTTAGCTCTTTATAAGTCACGAATTTTTGTAAGATCTAATGTCATTTTGGTTTTTTTTTGTCAGTCCTGGGGCTTGAACTCAGGGCGTGGGCACTGTCTCTGAGCTCCTTTTGCTCAAGGCTACCACTCTACCACTTGGCTTTTCCTGAAGTGAACACAGGCTTCATACATGCTAGGCAAACACTCTATTTTTATTTCAAATTTTACAAATAAATGTGCAAATTATTCATAAACTGCTATCTGAAATGTATCTAGATTATTTTTACCTTCATATAATTTCTATTTTATATTGATTTTAAATCAAATGTTCCTAATGTATTACTATTATTGGGAGCAGATGAGGAACGATGTAGCATCTGCCAAATTAGGCTGAGTTAACAATATGCAGAATCACTATTAATGAGGCAGAAAGGAATATAAGCTGCAAAACTAACAAAAATTTGAAGTTTTAACATGTCAAAAATCTCCACAGAAGTCAATGATCACTGGAATAGATGCATATTTCAAGAACATACTCAGTAATACCATTTCCATAAAGCTAATCCTAAGTATGGCAAAATATAAAATACACAAAGTATTTCCTATTAAACTGAAAAAAGATTTAAAATATCACATGAGTGAAGTTATCAAAAGTTACCCCCTCATGGGAGGGAGACCTGGCCTACTAGCAGGCCAGGTTTCTGCAATTCCCTGATGCTATAAAACTAACTCCAGTAAAAGCTTCTTCAACCAATTATAAAATTCTGTCTCTGGACCACCAACAATCTGCAATATTTTCCCCACTATAACTACCCACCATTCTTAAGCATTTACGTAAGCAGCTAGAAAATCTGTCTCATAGGTGAGCACCCTTACATTGGTCCAATACTTTGTCCTTTCATTTGAAGGGCCTCAAATTACCTTTGGATAAACAAACAAAAACACATAAAGATAATTTGCAACATATAAATATTAAAAACATGAAGGTTAACTATAATGTGTGGTACTCCATGTGATAAATTAGTTATACAAATCTGAGGTTAGAAAGTTATTACTCACAAGCAAGGTAGTTTTGTCATTATACCAAATGAAAATAAAATATAGCTAAGAGTACAACATCATGTCTCTCTTTTTTGCAGGTACTGGGACGTCACTTTTTTGGCTTTCTTACTAAGGCCGGCACTCTAACATTTAAGCCACACAATGCTTACAGAGTTTTTGCTGGTTAATTGGAATTAAAGAGTTCCTCAGACTTTTCTGACCTGGTTAGCTTTGAACCTCAATCCTCAGATCTAACCTCCGGAGTAGCTAGAATTAGTGTGAGCCACTGGAACACAGCCCAGAGTTATCTCTTAAAAATAAATGTAGAGAAATGACTGCAGGAAGAGAAATATAAGGGTAATAGCACAATTCTTAGGGCAATAAATAAACTGTGGAAAAATAGCACGTGGAGAAAAAAATCTTACTTGTAGAAAATATGAATCTATAACCTATGACACTAAAGAATTTCACCTGCTTTCTCTCAGGTTTTTCTCAACAAAATGTTGCATGGAGCAACTGCACTGAATGATGTTGACTTCCTAAATTAAGAAGAAAAAGCCAAAAAGGGACATTCTCTGCAGATAAACAAAAAGTAAGCATCTGGGATTTATGTATTTTGCATTGGGGAAAACAAAATAGTTTAAAAATATAGAAATTCAAAAATGTAAGCAGACTGTCAAGTAAATTTAAAATAAAAATTATGAAATATTAAAACTTTATTGGTAATGTACATTTAAAATTTTTAGAAATAATTTCCCAACTGAGTACAGTGGCTCAGACTTGTAATCTTAGAATAGGAGGCAGATTGAGCATAAATAGGAAACTCATAGGCCAGACCTGTCAAGCACAAAGGTGAGACCAAATCTCAAAAATAACTAAAGCAAAAAGGACTGGGATGGACAGTTTTAATACAAGTGCTTGCCTAGTAAGTGCAAGCCTCTGAGTTCAAACATCAATACCACCAAAAATGAAATATAATTTTTCTCTCTTGGTGAAGAAACAAATAATTACTGATAGCCTTAAGACAACTGAGACCTTTAACTCAATTAAATGTTGCTGCTAGGATTTTTACAGATGACTTCATATTGCTTGTGAAATATCTTTTCTTCCTAAATCTCAAATTGATGTCAATGATCTATGAAATAAAATATTGGAAACTTTCTATATAAAACAAAATTCCTACTATGCAAAGGAATTATGACCGCAACACAGCTTTTCACTGGTAAGTAGTGTGTGTGTGTGTGTGTGTGTGTGTGTGTGTGTGTGTGTGTGTGTGTGTGTGTGTGTGTGTGTGTGTGTGTGTGTGTGTGTGTGTGTGTGTGTGTGTGTGTGTGTGTGTGTGTGTGTGTGTGTGTGTGTGTGTGTGTATCTGGTTTTGTGAGGGTTATATATTTTTGACAGTCCTGGGACTGGGCAATGTCCCTGAGCCTCTCTGTATTCTAGGCTAGCACTCTACCACTTGAACCACAGCACCACGTCCAGCATTTTCTGAGTAGTTATTGCAGATAAGAGTCTCACAGGCTTTCCTGCCCGGGCTGGCTTTGAATCGCAATCCTCAGATCTCAGCCTCCTAAGAAGTTGGGATTACATGTGTAAGTCACTGGGGCCTGGCTTGTGAGTTTTTTTTTAAATTTTGTTTTTTGTGATACTAGATCTGAACTCAGGGCCTTCCACATGCCAACCTGGCACTCTACCAATTCAGCCATGCATGATTTTTGTTGCTCCTGTCTTTTTTTGAGATACATTCTAGGCAACTTTTCTGCCTGAGCTAGCATAAAGCTATTATCCTCCAGACCTCAGCCTGCTGATTAGCTAGGATTACAGTTGTGAGCCATGGATGCCAGGCCCTGATAGCTTGGATTGTATTTTGACTACAATATACTGCAAAAATGCTACTGATTGGAAAAAAATAACAAAAGAAAATAAGAGGAAAGTATAACATATAAACAAATAGAGCTAAACTTATCTGTAACAAACAATTGATGTCTTTTGTTATAAATGAATTTTGCTTCAGAAACATTTAAATTTAACAGTAAATATGGCTTTGTCCTTATATTTTTACTGAGATTTTCTTATTAATGTCATCTCAAAGATCTGATTTGCCACCTAAAGCCCCACTGATATACAAAAACTATTAACCACTTAGTATATTCAAGTTGGAGTATAGAAACTTAGTAGCTATTGAAGTAGGTCACAAAATTTGAGAATATGTATTCATACATAGGTACTTCTAATCCTTGTCTCTACAGACTAATAGAACAACAATACTAACATACACACACATATATATATGTATGTTTTTACTTTTGAAACCATAACACACACAGGTAAGTGTAAGCAAGGAGTGAGCTGCAGTCATCCATAGCTCATGTACACATCCAAATATGTGTAGCCAACAGTGGAAGAAAGCAACATGTTGGAAACAGATACAGAGCAAGAAAATAATCACTGCTGTTTACACATAGAAATACCATGGTAAGTGTTCAGTTGATATGTGAATTCACTGGATACTCAGAACTTCCCTCTTTTTAACATCACTTCCAAAGTCAAACTTTAAATAGTATCATCTGACTATTTTGTAAATACAATTGGAAGGACTCAACAACTCTTATTTTGGAAAAATTCATTTTACTATGGAAATAGTTCTTTTTCTGTTTATCTATATTTTTGTTAAACATTGAAGAATTAACCAATTGTACATGCTATATGAAATTCTGAGTTAGAAAGATGAGAAAATAAAGGCTATATTAGAATACTTACCACATTCGGAGAGGTTGATATTTTACCCATTCCATTAACTTCATACAAAAGATAGGAGATAACTCCTTTTGTATGCCTTATGTTATTATAAGCCCTTTTCTTCTCCCCAGTAAGATGCTAAAGAGAAAGGAAGTATAAACTACACAAAAAAAAACTAGCAAGGCCAATTAATGCAGAGTAAAAGTCAATTTTCATATTTGAAATTCAATGTAAGTAACAAAGAGAAAATTACAGTTTATATATGATTTAGAATAACAAAATTATACTGTAATTGGGAACAATTAACTTAAGAATTAGAAAATTAGTTATATAGTAAAAGTTTAAAACTTAATGTCTTTAAGAAATCTTGACAGGAACAAAAACAGAATTATTTGCCTGCATCTTTGTTTTGCCCTTCCCATTTCTCAGCTATCTGAAAGGATACTCAGTACCAGGATGATGTGTGATTCTGCCACGAACTGAGCCTGACTGCTCCCATGAATATAGCTCTGCAAGAGAAGACAGAAACACAAAATTTATAAGCAAGCAAAAGATATAGTTAATGTATAGTTTTTTACAAACTTAATTAAAACACATGCAACCTCTAAAACATTCAGCAAATAACAAATAATGTAGTTGACTAAGTACTCAGGTTCTGAATCAGAGACCTAAGTGCAAATTCAACAGCGTACATATATTAAATTTGTAGTCATAGGCAAATTTCCTCACCCTTCTTAAGCCTCTGTTGAACTCACACGTAAGTTACCTAACATATAAAATAAGTACAGTTAAATATCTTACCTAGTCTGGCTATTAGAATTTGATTTCATTTAGAGGTTTCATATGTGTTCTTATTGTGTCTTTTTAGCAACCCTGTCATCTTCTTTTACTACCTGTCATCTTCTGTATGAAAATAGACTTGGAGAGATTTAATTCCCCACTCAAGACTGGAGACTATTAACTAGTGAAAGTTGGACTGTGAACTGGGTCTGTCCATGTAGGCTACTCCTTTTTTTTTTTTTTACCATTTAACAAAATTACCAAATATTGAAAATACATCAAGTAAAAAAAAAATAGAAACAAAAACAAAAAACCTTAAAAGTTGAACTTGGCACACAACGGAATCGCAGTTAAAGCAATTAAAATCAACACTTATGTAATGATAAAATAAAACTGAATAGAACAGTACAAGATAATACACACAAATTCATTTAACACCTGCAAAATACTTTGGCTACATTAAAGTCACAAGTGGAGGATGACAGGCAGGGAGGAGGGAGATGCATCTGTAGTATGAAGATGGGGCCTGGGGAATGAGGAAGAGCAATAGAGAGGACACTCTGGTTAAAATATATGTGTAAAATATCACAATGAATCTGCCTAGTACAATTAATTTACAGTAACAAATGACAGGAGAGTAAACCAGTACTGTTGAGGAAGGGGATGAAAACAGACAATAAAACCTGCTGACATTATTTTGAGAAGGGAAAAGAAGATGCATGGAAATATACCACAATAAAACTTCTTATACAACTAATAAATATCTTATTTTAAAAGATTTTAGGGCTTGGATGCAGCTCAGTGGCATAGCACTTGCCTAACAAGTAGAATATCCTAGGTATGATGCCCAGTACCAAAAAGGAAAAAGACAAAAAAAAATTGTTAGTAGCGCTTTCTCAATATTAACTTTTTCTCTAGGGTATCAATAGACTTTTCACTGCCAAATCTACACCCACTCAGTCTCTTCTTTTCTAGTATCTTTCATATTGAACTTCTGGAATGACACTCTTGATTCTATTACTTCACTGGTTTCTCTTCTGCAAATCTTCTAGTATCTAATTCTACTTCCACTATCTAGAGTTCTGTAGATTTAAGCCTTTCATCTTTCCTTCCCTTCCTTCCCAGGTGGTATTACTTAATCACATGGCTTTAATGATCAAGTCTGTATTGAGGATTTTCATATTTACAACAAGGCTGAGATACATCCATTTCCACAGGTCAGTTTGTCTTCACTAGCAGACTCCATTTGGCAGTCTAAAACCTAAAGTGGCCAAATACAAATTGTGAGGGATAAACCTTCCTCTATCCAAGAATGTGCTTATCTCAGCTCATTCAGGAAAACAGCAACATGACTATTCCAGTTGTTTATTCCAAAACTCTATAACCAGGCTTGTTTCTCCTCTCTTCCCTTACTTTTCTCCTCATCCATTCAATTTCAGAAAACAGCTTGCTGTACATTCAAGAGTCATTCCAAATAAAGCATCTGTCATCACCTCTAGGAAGAACTGGCAAAGTGAGTGACCTAAGGAATAAGGACAGATATTGGTCTGGTCCAGGAACTCATCATCTCTTGCCTAGATAGTTGCAAATCCTCCTTTATTCTTATTTGCTTTGACCCTAACGCTCATCAGTTTGTTTAAAATTAATCAGATCCGATAACTGCCTTGCTTGGAATCCCTCAATACTTCCTCAAACATGGAAGAGAACTATCATATCACGGAATGCATTTCCTGTTTCCAGTCACAATATCCAAGATATGGACATTTTTCTCCCATTTCACCTTAACTGATCATTTCTTGATAACTGATCTGTAATTTTTGTAGTTTGATTCTTGTAAGGCAAAAGAAATGAATGCCTTTGGAGAAAGTCCTGATTCTGCAACTAATCAGTTGAACACATTACTTAACCGTATTATCCCATCTTTAGGAAAAGTATTCCTCGAAATACTGTCCTAAAATCAAATGAGATATTATTATACTAGGTTAGTTGCACAGTACATGGCTCTGTAGCAAATAATCAAATATTTACCTTTTAAACGAACTGTACCTATTAAACATTTTAAACTATGGTTAAATACCATTCCAAAATTCAATTTTTACAAGTGCATTTTAAGTATGTTCAACTGATGGTTTTAAGTGATGATATTTAGATACACATTCACTTCAGAACATCATTTTACTCTTCAAAAATCTTTAGGTTTTATTAAACTAGAATTCATTTGATAATGTTTACTACTTTTTATCCACTTATTTAGGTATAGTATTTTTCTTTTTTCCTTTTTTCATTTTTATTGTGATTATAAAGGTAATATACAGAGGAGTTAATTTCACAAACATACATAAAGTGTATGTTTCTTTTTGAACACTGTCATCCTTTTCCTCATTTTTCCCAGTTTTCTCTTCCCATCCCTAGCCACAAGTTGTATAGTTCGTTTATGAAATTACTTTACTTCCTAGAGTTGGACTGATGTCCAAATACAGTCATTAGGGGGTGAAGCTTCAATGTATGAATTTTGTGGAAAGTATACTTACATACCTCATTCTAGGTAAGTATAAGACTTCCAAATAACTATTACAAATGTGGTCTAACACTCTAGACTCTAGTCTCTCTTTTTTTTTTTTTGTATCAAGGAACTAAGGATACTAAAGTGAAGTAATGTTATTTCTCTTTCAGTTTCCTTCTTAGAATACTAATATTCAGGAAATAATACTTTTGAACTATTCATATAGGTTAAAATACCTTAGTGTATCCATTAGTACATTTTTAAAAAAGGTATCCTAAGAACTTCTACTATATCATACTATAATCCTGTCTAAGGTAGAACAAATTAGTTGAGCCTTTACTTAAAAAAAAAAAAAGGAAGGGAAGGGGTAACAATGATCAAGTAATGTACTCATTGCTTTACTCATGTAACTGTAAACCCTCTATACATCTTAACAATAAAATTTTAAATATGTAAAGAGATGAAAATATAAGAGAAGGGAGGGAAAAGGTGGGAGGGAAGGAACTTAGAGGAAAGAAAGAAGGCAAAGCAAGTACATAGGCTTCTGGAGAGCTAATGGCAAAAAGAAGATTCTCAAGTCATCACTGCCACTGTACAAAATAGGCTAGAGTTCTTTCACTTTAAAAGATTCTTCTTTGAAAGATTCCTCTTATATGTCCATATTTCTAGTCTCACCCCTGGGGTCTCTTTGTATTCATCCAGCTACATCATCTTTTTGAGGCAGGATTAATTCTTACTAAGTTACTACACCAAAATCAAGATGAGATATAGATTAAAAAAATAGCTAAGTCAAGTCCCTTTAGGATTTGCTTGAAAGGAGGGACACACACACACACACACACACACACACACACACACACACACACACATTATCTACATCCACTTAACAAAGAATTCCCCACTGTTTGACTTCCTTAGAAGCTGTACCTATCATGCTTGAAATTTCTCAGCATTTCAAACAACTGGCTTAAACTGGAAATGATAAAAAAAATGAAATAAAACAGTCTATGGGAACAGTGACACATCTGATATCCAAGTATTTTGTCTCTATCAATTGTTAGCAGGAAGATCTCATTCTCCTTACCTCAAATTTTAGAGACATTTAAAAAATCTTGTTCCAGCTAAACTAACTGCATGATCTGTAAACTTTTGGGCAAACTATACTCTCAAACTATACTCCTATTTGAGGGTTAGATATTTTCACCAATAAACCTAACAGTGGTTTAAAAGAATTCTCAAAATTGCATGTGTATGATACTTATTTAAGAAACAACTTTTCAGGTTTTATTTATGGAGAACCTAATAAGTCCATGGTAGGAAGAGAAATTTGTATTGCCGATGAACTACAAACCTTAAATACATAATTACATTTTTCAGGAGGCTGTATGGGAAAGTTTTAAACTGAAATCTTGAGGAAAAGCTGGAAAAAGAACTTTACAGTTTAGGTGGAGGGTGTGGGGGTGTAGTTGAGGAAGTGGGACGGATGGGATGGTAGGGGAAAAACAAAGGAGGAGGCAACAATGCTGGATAAGAAATGTACTCATTACCTTGCTCATGTAATTGTAACCCCTCTGTACAGTATTTTCACAATAAAAAAAACTTATTTAAAAAAAAGAAGTTTAATGTGCTTTTGTTCATTGCCTATCACAGTAGTAGTTGGGTGCAAATTGAGCTCAAGTAACAGAAGGATCTATATCTCATTCAATAAGTAGATTATACACAGACAACCTCACAACAAACACAGAAACTCAGATTTGAATCATATTTTCTAGTTTCCCGAGAGATTCTCTAAGAGACAAGGTAATTAACTTAGAAGGAGGTATGAATTAAGTCTACTAGAAATGGATGAATCTAATGAGCTAGTAGTTCCTAATCAGGGTTTGAGAACATTTAAAGATTTTTGTGGAATTATGGCCCTAGGCCAGAAAGTAACTATCAAATGCATTAGTATTCTCATGTCATTATTATAAATGTGAGTCCAAATCTCAATACCAAAAAGGGAAAACCAATGAATGCAGCTTAAAATTTATATCATTACATTTAAAACAACTCAATTCACATGACCAAGTATTGTGCACTTGTGACTACTCTAAGGATACAATAAGAACATAGTCTCTGAACCCCAATCTAGATTTGCTAGTAAATTCACTGTTTACCCCAGGAAATCTAGTTGACATTTTTGTAATTCATTTTTTCTAGTATAGAACACTTTTGTTTATTTATAGG